GAATTGGTTAAAAATTCTGTAAAAAAAGAAAAAAAGAAAAAGAAAAAAAAAAGGAACAAAAATCCTTCACGATGAAATAGAAATAATAATAACATAATTTGTATAGTAAGAACACAATAGCCAATACGATTTTATATATCAAAATAACACAGATACACATTTATACATACGCCCGTACATTCCCATAAACGAACATACACACACACCCACACACATTATACACGTGTATTTGAAAAAGTACGTTACACGTTCTTAAAGAAATATGAAAAAAGATGGGAAATATGCGGACGAGAAAATTGCATTGTATTCTTCCAACTTATACTTTGTACTTTTACAATCCCCCTCTCCCCGCCACCCCTTCACCCCCTGTACAAATCCACCCCTTCTTCTTCTACATCTTCTTTCTATTTATTTCTCTTTCTTTTTCTCCGATATTACTGAACCCCTGATGCACATATACAACCCCTTACCACCACCCCCTCCTTAACCACTCACATCATATAATACACAAATACATATGCACGAATTGTGTCTGTGTATATACTAAAGACGATTTTATAAACGAGTAGCATTATACGCCGTCAGACGGAAGAGAAATCCTTTTTCTTGTCCTAGGAAAAGGTCCTTTACCTTCCATCCCTTTTACATTTTTTTTTTCTCCCCCTTTCCTTTTCCTTTCTTTTCTTTACTTTTTTTTATTTTTTTTCTACCACTCGCGTTTGCCCTCGTATACCTCTCGGATGAATTTTACGACAGATACGAGTAGCACCTCGATCTCCTACGTGCTTAGAGTTATAATTACGAAAGAGAAAGAGAAAGAAAGATAGATAGATAGATAGATAAATAGATAGATAGAAGGAAGAGGTATGAAGGGTAGGAAAAAATGGTGAAACGGGGGCAAGAGGGTAAGGTTGTATAGGTAGTGGTTAGATGTATAACCATTACATGTCTCTTGTCTTACATTCTAGCCGCGTTCTTTAGCAAAAGAAATAAAAAAAATAAAGAAAACAGAGAGCTACAGCAAGTGAAGGGGTTTGGGAAGAGAAGGGGGTACGGGGTAAGGGGTTGTAGGAAAGAGTTGGGGAGATAGGTAACGATTAAATTAAAAGGAAAGGCGTCAAATTCTCAGACAAGTAGACCTTACGGTTGTGTCCTCACCGATTTTAACGAGCATTGGTATATTAGTAGTATACTTTTAGGGTGTTAACGTGGTAAAGTGTTTTATCTAAATTCGAAGCTAATTTTGAGATAATTGTTTTTAAAATTTGGAATTTTTCGTATACATGTTTATATTATCTTAAATGCGTTTGTTTATCAAATGATGCGCTAGCGTAAGTAGTGTAGTTTTTTTATACTTTTTAATTTTTAAATATATACCGAAAAGAGAAAATTATTTATTACGAAAAAAATAAGAAATAATAAATTTTTAAGAGACCGTATAAAAAAAAAAGTAAGAAAAAAAAAACAAATACTTCTATTTCTAACGATCGAACGGTAAATATTTCACGACACTGGGGGAGGTTTTAATCGGTTTTTTTTACTCTTTTTTTCTTTTTTTAATACGTTAAAGGATCGTATTATAATTAAAAAAAAAAAAAAAAAATAAAGAAGAAGGAAAAGGCGCGAGGGATTTTATTGTCTTTTGACAATGAACTGGTTCGAGAGTTGAAAGAGTACCTGCGATGCTCTTTAAAAGTTATGGTCTGTGTGTGTGTGTGTGTGTGTGGATTTTTTTCTACGTCATTTAACTTTAAGATTTTATTTCGAAGTACTTTTTATACGACGAGATTTTATTCTTTCGTTCGTATACATTTATAATGGCGGGGATTTTTTCTTTTTTTTTTTTTTAATTGTGTGTTATAGTTGTATAATTGTATAGGTTTCATTTTAAAAAAATATAAATAGGCGAATTAGTGAATATTATTATTATAATGGTAGATTAATAAGG